CACACACACACACACACACACACACACACACACACACACACACACACACACACACACACACACACACACACACACACACACACACACACACACACACACACACACACACACAGCAACCTATCTCGACGTCTCCTCTACGATCTTACACACGTGTATATAATCGAGTAAACGAGTTAATCGTAAACAAGCTAATCCATATTTATTTAATTATATTATATTATTATATTATTTATTTATTTATTTATTAATCTTACATATACATACCGGAGTAGCCGTTGTAAGCTTCCCAGCGAAAAGCGCGTCCCGAGAACGTCTTATTATTGAGTAGGTCAGCGCACTGTTGCGTCCTATAGTCCCCCTGATCGGTGTCACACGGCTAAAACAAGCGACGATTGAATGACACCATCATACTTAGTCACTCAGTTACATAGTTACATATAGTTACATACTTACACAGTTACATAGTTACATAATTATATAGTTACATACTTACACAGTTACATAGTTACATATATAATTATATACGTACATACTCACACAGTTACATAGCTACATAATTATACAGTTACATACACTGGATCGTCAAACCAAAGCTGACAGAAGACAGGCAATCGTGTAACTCGTGTTATAACGCAAGCGAACACCCCACATGCTCGCTCGTTATCGCAGTATGTGTGTGTTTTGTCAACATGTTCTGCTTGCATCTATGACAAATACGACATACGCATATACGCTCTCCTATGACATTATGTGTCATAGGAAGATTCTTCCTATGACAAATATTGGCGAGTCAACTTCGTTCCGCTTTACAGCTGAAATTCACTGCTTGCGTTCATAATAGCGCTCCTAAACTCCTATGATGCACACAACACATACAACAATATTTGTCATAGAAAGAATCTTCCTATGACAAATAGTGTCATAGGAGAGCGTATATGCTTATGTCGTATTTTTCATAGATGCTAGCAGAACAGGCTGGTTTTGTACAACTGTGAGGGTTGACGGGGCAGGTACATCGAATTGTCACTAAGGTCAAAACGTGCGAGTGGAGTTTAATTTGAATGTTAGCTTACTTTCACGTTGCAGACTTCTATGGTCGTGGCTGGGCCGACGCACTGTTCGCCTCCATCCGGAGCCCTGAACGAAACACAACACCAACATATAGGATCGCGTTAAGAATAAATATTACCAATATACCGATTTATACCAAGGGCATGCATGGATTATTGAGCATATTAAAACACATTACAGTATATGTGCGGTCACCCACCAGAGTGATATTCTGGCTTCCTTCGACAGCAAGGCGCCCAGTTATTACTATACTACTACTACTACTACTACTACTACTACTACTACTACTACTACTAC